CTGGCGGGAGGGCATTCAATCTGTGCTCCTTTGGGGATGGCAGGGTGGGTGCCAGACTGCACATTAGCCAGCAGTGATGAGGACTCAGAGTCGTACAACAGCCAGCACCACGAGAAGGAATGAGGACTTCTTCCTCTGGTGCCTCATCAGTGCAACTTCTTTTTTTTTTCTTGGCAGCTGGCCAGTACGGGGATCTGAACCCTTGACCTTGGTGTTACAACCCCCCGCTCTAACCAATTGAGCTAACTGGCCCGCCCCCATTTTTTTTTTTTTTTAATTTAAAAATAATGAAATAGGGAGCACATCTCTGACTCAGTTGGATGGTGCTTCCCGGATTGACCCTCATACTTGGCTCCCAATAAATGTTACTAAATCAAAAAAGAAAGAAAGAAATTGTTATGGCTTACACTGGAAAACCAGAACCAAAAACCTCTGTGTGCTTGAGGAATCGGTCAGTAGACAGAAACCCATAATGAGCAAATAGAAAGCAATAAGTTAAAAAGAAAAAGCAAGCCATTGTCACGGGCAGCCCTCTGACACTGCCGTCCCAGATGGGAAATGCTGGAAGAGAATCATTGTCCCATCACGTCACCATCTGTGTTGATTCATGTGGATTAGTGCACACAGCAGAGTCTTATTAATAATACGTAATGAAGTAATTATCACAAATAATTGGGGTCACCATATAAAATAGCATGTCCTTAGTAAATTAAGAAATATGTTGACCAAGCAGTTATTTACTAAGTCAGGACCCTGGCTCTTTCAGTGGAATGACCGAATGTTGGGCTGTAGTTAGGATGGGGAGTTGTAATCCTAAAAAAGTGGATGCCAGTGTGCCAGGCACCTCTTTTCCTATCTTTCCCTGCAAAGAAAATCCCCACAGAGAGAGAGGGGTGGCCCCAGTAGCACCTCCTCCGAAGCTGGGATAGAACCACAGGGTGGGGACCTACTCACGAGTGAGCAAAACCTGCCCTTGACTCCATTTTGCTGTGGACTCAAGGTTAACCCAGGTGAGTGTCCCCTTCTGCTCCCTCTCCAAACGGCTGCCACCTTCCAGTGGAGGCCCTGAGTTCTTCAGAGAGGAGAGGCTGTGTGAACAAGGACCAGTCTTTCTTCTAAGATTAGGTTGGTATCAGTGCAGACACAATAACCTTGCGTCTTAACTAAGTTCTTAATTGATCTCATGGGCGTAATACTCGGCATAGAAATATCCTTGTTTTTAATTTAATAATAATAATGATAATAAAAACCAGTAACTGACAACTGCGAGGGCTTCTGCTGGGCCAAGCACCATTTGGATTACTTTGCATTTTTATACCTGATATGAGTCCTATTACCAGCACTCCCATTTTACAGGAAAGTAAGGCACCCAGAGGCTAAAGCATTTGTCTGAGACCACCCAGTTAGTGGCAGAGGCCAGACTTGAACCCAAGCAACCCAACTCCTAATCATGCCCTGCACCACCATGTTACAGTTTCCTCCCCATGGGTTTGAACACCTGCAAATGTTCCCAACTTTGAAGCTTTGCCCCTTGATGGTCTCCATGTCCTGGGCAGCACTGGTGACTGTCCTTCACTGCCACTTTGGGCTGGTCTCTATCCTGTGGCTTGCAGCCCTCCCAGAAAGCTGCCTGCACTGCCTTTGCAGTCGTTAGTGCTTTGAGCAGTGTGCTGCTGTGACCATCAGCTCTTCAACAGCAGAGCTGCCTGGAAAGTCCTCTTTCCCACGGGGAACTTGAATAATCATGGACAGGAATTCCAAACAGATTGTTTCCTTCTAGCCAAAACCACTTTTGAGATCTTTTAAAACATTCCTTCATCCTCTTTAAATATGTTTCAAAATATATACACAGTACTAATAACCCAGTTGATACCCCCAGACTCTTCAGGAGGCAGTTTTGTGTTTGATTCTTTCTGCATCAGGGGCTGAGGGCCCATTCAATACAGACTGGGAATAACAGACACCAGCCTCAAAGCCTGAGTCCTCGGGTTAGCAGAAGAGAAGATGCCTCCCTTCAGACCAAACAGGGCCGTAACAGCTTCTGCTCCAGGTCACCCAGGCCGCGGTAGCTGGCTGCAGTATTTTCTCTTCTGACTCCTACCAGGCTGCATGGGAAGGGAAAGAAGAGCTCCGAAAGAAAAGAGGCTAAAATTCAGGCCAAGAAATGGAATTTGGGGACTGAAATGATTCCCTAGGCAAAGTATAAGTAGCTTGAATTGCAAGGACTTCTGAGGCTCAAGTTCCAGACCAGAACTGGAACGAAGACCTAAGAGGACTTTAGACTCAGATAAAGGAGAGGGTGAGGTAGAAAGAAATTTTATACTCAAATATGTAAGAAAAACCAAGGTCCAATTATGCCAATTTTAATGAAAAATCAGTGATTAAAGAGGAGTATCCCAAACTGTACCTAAATGATTAGTTCTGTAAATCCTGCTTAGTGTGTGGTCTATTTAATTATACTAATTAGCTACTCTGATTAATGCGTCTGTTAATCTTTTCTTAATCGATTTTTTTTAAAGAAAGGATAATTAAACAGAAAGTCACATTAATCACGCTTCCTCAATCAAACAGGCCTACGGGCAGCCTTTATCAGTGGTCTTTCCCCCAGGTCTCCTGAGAACTTGGTAGAAATGCAAATTCTTGAGCCACATCCCATGCACATTGAATCAGATACTCAGGATTGGCCCTGAAATCTGTGTTTTAACAAGCTCTCTGGGTGATCCTGATCCCTGCTCAAGTTTGAGAAGCAGGGTCTGCACGCACAAGCCCCTTGGCCACAACAACAGCACAGTGTCCAGCTGGTGAGCACTCCCATTAATTGCAAAGGACTCAAGAGGACATAGGAACTTGGCACCTGGTCTTACAAAGCCAAACTTTTAACAATGACAGAAAGCAACAGAGCCTCACCTTTTCCTTCTCTTTTGCACGGTGACTTTTTGGAATCTTTTTTCTCATCTGGGCATGATAACGATGTCTCTAGTTTAGGAATCTTTTTTAGAAAGCTTGAGTTCTCTCTGACATTTTCTTTTTCTTCCAATCTCAGTCTCAAGGCTGCCACCCTGGACAGAATTTTCTTCTTTACTCCCTCAGTTAAGTGTCCACTTCCTGAGGTCTCTTGCTTTTTCTTGACCTCCTCTGAGCCAGTCACTGCTGGTTGGGCCTCTGGTAATTTGCCCATTTGGGCTGCCAGGTGGCTGAGCCTGTCCTTTTCCCTTGGCTTTTTCACGCATCCCAGGGTGCCCTTTTGACACAGGTCCTGCAGTAACCTGGGGGCTTTCTCTGACTCACATTCTCCTGAAATGAATGCCAAAGTCATTGTTGGTGAGACAGATGAGCTTGGGAGTTTGGCTTCCCCAATTTCAGGCTCCTCTGTTTTAGGTTCCTCAACTTCATGGCTTATTGAAATGCGTGTGCTATTTCGTTTAAGAGATGAAGTACTAGGCAATCGCGTAAGATCGCTAGAAGAGGTCAAATGTTTCCCACACTCATTCTCCATAGTTCCTCTTTCCTTTGAGTCAGAAAATACATCCTGACGATGTAGGGGCTCAACTAAGTCATTTTCAGAGATGTCATGAATCCAGCCTGTGGAATTGTGAGTGTCAACCACAACAGATGCAGGAGTCGTCATCGCAAGACAACTAGGAAGAGGTGACGTGGGGAAAGTGAACTCTGCTTTGTCCTTTTTACTCTGTTCGGCTAAGCTTCTGCCAGTGCCTTCTCGTGTCCGGTTTATGCCGCATCCACCTGGAGTTCTCTCCCTGCCTCCATCAGCACACGGGACTTGCCAAATGGCAGGGTGGGCGTCCACTTCTGCCTCACCGTGTTGACTTTGTTTGGCTGCCCCTCTCTCACTGTCCTCTTGGTTTCTGTTGATTCTGTTTTCACTTGGAATGGTCTCCTCTGGAACTTGCAAAACAGCAGGTTGGACTTCCACTCTCCGGCCCAAGTTTCCATCATTCAATTTACTGCCCTCTCCGATGACCCCCTGTGTGCGTTCAGAAGGCACTTGTTGTCCAGCTCTTGTACACTCTATCAAACTTGTTTCGTCAATGGGATCGACAGAGGACTCTAGGATTTTAGGGCAGGTCAGAAACTGTTTAAAGAAGCCAGGATGGTCCACCTCGAGTTGGTTTTCCCCCTGGCCTCGACTCACATTGTTAACATCTTCCTTCCGTCCGGTTTTGGAAGCCTCTGGTAGTGGATCTGCAACACATAATGCCTTTTCATCTATGGGGTCCACGGATGACTCCAGGAATCTGGGTTGGCTCAAATACCGGGAGGAAAGACTGCTCCAGTGTGCTCTGCGGCCCAGTTCTTCACCTTCATGGATCTCTCTGTTATTCGCAAGGGCTGAGTCAGACTCATGCTGCGGACTGTGAGCCAATGTTGCTCCTCCAGAGGCGTCCAGTTCAGGCACAGCAGTATCTGCCTTTAGAACATCAGGTACAGCCCAGACCCTGTCAGGAACTATGGGACCAGCTTCCAACTCTTTGCACTCAGAATGTGTCAGTTCTCTTGGTGGCCAGATTTCTGAAACAGGAGCCTCTAGAGTTACAATCTTCAGCTTGTTGCCTGCTTCCTGATGTCCTAGTCCATTCTCTTTAGACTCCTCCAGAAGAACACTGGAGAGAGATGAAACATTGCTCAGACCCTGACTGTCTTCATCCACCATGGAGACACTCATCCCCAGGCCTGAGCTCTGTCCTCTTTCTTCCCTGGAGTTTGCTGGTGAGTGCTCCAAGGGCACCCAGTTCATTTCCTCTTGTGCAGGAGATGTGGTGGGCACACTTTCTTGAGAATCATCTGCAGAAAGAGAACCCTGGTGGGACAGGCTCCTCTGCTGGATCCTCTGCTTTGTTTCACTTCTTTTTTCCTGGAAGTGCTCTTTAAGGCTCCTATTGACAGCTCTGTCCCTGGTCTGGCTCTCATCTCCTGTCTGGCTATCAATCTGCAGAGGGGAATCGCTACAGAAACTTTCTCCCTCTGGGAGCTGGGGGACATGGCCGTGGGCCCTTGGTACACTGGATGCCATGCAAAGTGGGTCTTCTGTAGGTTTGGTGGTGGGGCCACTTAAAATATGACCCAACTGTACATTGGAAGGAAATTGGACAATATTCTCCTCTGGTGCCTGAGGTGAGCTCTCCTCAGCACCATCTGCATGGTTATTCTCAGCAATGGAAACAGCAAGGTATTTGGCTCTGCTTTGACCTCCTGCCAGTGCGAAGTCTGTGGAGCAAATTTCTTGAGGCAAATATTTATCCACTGGTGCTGCCACACGAGGACCCGTGGCATCACAACATGCTCCTTGGTCACCAGCTTCAAAACACTCCATCACACACGCCACTTCCCTGCCCCTTGGCCCATCGCACACATTTTGCAGGGTGAGGGCAGGATCTGTGTGTTCAGTGGAAGCGACAGAGAGAGCCTCAGGGTCCCTGTGCCCAGCACTGGCATCCTGGGGGAGATGTGCGAAGAGCCCCCCTGGGGACAGAATTCCACACTTGGCTTCTGGGATGCTCAACTCATGTTCAAGGTCTTCCCACCAATGGCTAGGAGTGTTGTGTTCTCTGTCTTGTCTTTTTTCATGCTGTGGGTCTTGAGTACAGCTTTCTACCTCCAGGTATCGGGCCAATGATGCGTGTTCCTCATGGGTCCCTCCTGAGTTGGGGAAGGAATTTGTTGTGGTCCCGATGAATGAAGACTCCTCCCCGGCAGGCTCTGAGAAAGCTGGCATCTGGCTGAGACATGTTCTCTCCCTGACCATTTCCTGAATTTGCACCTAGGAAAATGAAAAGTGTTTTTAATAGAATTGTTCGTGGGAGAACCCACAATAGGTTATAAGTGCAATCCCAAGAGTGCTCACCCTCGATGACTGGAATAATGCACCAGAAGAGGAGCAGGAATGATCAAAAGTCATACATTAATCCCCAAACTAGCCCTAGCTAGTAGAGACATCCTGGAACACTGCAAATTTAAGCAACTCCACGTTCCAGGGGACCCTTAGTCAAATTCACCATTATATAAGCAAAAAGCCTCCTGACAATCATCATTTAATAATGACTCTTTTTCTCTTTCTCTCAGGAAAAAAGATGAAAATAAATTGAATGTTAATTATTTTGATCAAGTAAGTCACAAGAGCTGTGTGCATCTTTCCAGAAGGATAAATTTCATACGATCATAACAAATGAAGTATGCAGTACTTGCAAAGTACCAATGAGCAATCTTTGTCCCCCAAATATGACAGCTTGCTGGCTAATAACGTTACTAAAGAACAGAGGGAGGCCTGTCCTTTGAACCCATTTCTACTGAAGTAAGGAAGTTATGGTTGGACATTAGCACTGTTAATCATTTCTGTCAATCATTTTTATAACCAGAAACGGTTATAAAAACCCCAGAATGCCTCCCAAACTTTACAGCATTTGCCCTGTGGCAAACAAACCACCTTCACATGAAATAAGGGATTCGGGACTGCTTAGATTTTTGGGAAAAGTGGGGAGAAAGGGAGGGAGAAAGAAATCTCACATTCGGAGGACTGAACCCATCACGGTACTACCTGAATGTCGTATGATATTGGATATTGCTCAAGGAAGCAGCAAACTCTTTGACTAAATTCTTGTCTCATGAAATTTTTAGCTTTTAGATCATTTTCTTAAAGCAAGACAAAATTACGTCCAGCCAAGGAGAAGGAAACTGCTGCTAATTTTTGGCAGGCAACTCAGTCTTTATCCCCAGGATCCGTGCTTTGGAGCAGCTTCATTCAAATGTGCAGGAAACAGATGACTGGCCTTTGAGAGGGGATAGATGGACTCTGTCGCAGCGTATGACAAAATAGAGCTGAAATGTTCACGTGCACCATGCAGCTCCAGAGTCCTGAGGCTTATTTCTGTGAATCATGCATGAGAATAGGTCTTACTACCTTGTGGTCAATCCCCTGTACACGCTGCCAGTGAGAAACAGGACAACAGCTTAACCACATACTCCCCCCAGGCCACTTGCTGCCGTTAACCATCTATTTCTAGTTTTCTCTTTTAAAGCTATCCTGAGGTTCACTTAACTCACATCTGATTGGCATAAAAATGCTAACTGAATAAGAAGCAATTTAGTAATCAACAAATATTTATTGAATATCTCCAGTATACTAAGGAGTGTTTCAGGTAATGTGGATACAAGAGAGGCAAATTTTCACCCATTAAACCTCTGCATTTGGGGAGGGGGGTGGCCTGGCCATGGGGATCGAACCCTGGACCTTGGTGTTACCAGCACCAACCGGCTGAGTTAACCATCCAGTCAACAATCCTATTTTAAAGCAGATTTGCAACCATAAGCACTACTGGTTCACATCCTGGAGTTTCTTCTTTTTTATTCCTTTTTGTCTTTTTTCACGTCCGGCAATGGATCGCAACCCTCAGTGTCGCGCCCGTACCAGACCGGGACCGGCAACGGGATCGCAACCCTCGGTGCTGCGCCCGAACCTCACTCAGCCAGTGAGTGGGAACCGGTCTGTATGTGGGATCCGAACCCTCGGCGGGAGCGCCGCCACACTCTCAAGCGGCGCACTGTAGCAGTGTGCCACCGGGCCGGCCCTCACATCCTGGAGTTCTGAAAAGGAAAATATATTTATTCTCTTTCTCTGTCCCTCTTTATTCTTCATCATATTAACATAGAAAAGGGAAAATTAGAAAGATAATTTCTGGGAAATAAGAAAGGTTTTTTTGAAGCATCATAGAGTTTGATGTGTGTACGGTTTCTGCTCTGTACCTGAACATCTATAACACATGGAGAGAGTATTTTTTTCATTTGCTATTTTGGTTCAGGTGTTTTATAATGTGCCATAGCCACAAACATACCAAGTTATTAAGCACAGGAAGTGTGGGTAGCTTCCTGGTCACGATTTGAGGTGTGGAGAGAGAATACCCAATGCAAACACCACAACCCCTCTCTTAGGCGTTTCTGTTCTGCCTGAATTTCCACTACCTAGGTCAGTCCTTTATTTTAAGGTCTTGTCATCATCACAGTATCATCAGTGCCAACAGACATTTACGGAAGAGTTGCCATGTGTAGAATTCACTGCCAGGCACTGAGCAGCTTTTTCCAAAGGGCTCCAGTTAAAAATCCACTGTGATATTTACTGGGATGGTACATTTACCCTCACCCATCCGTTAGTGATGACTGCCATATCAACAGAGTAATAGGATGATACCTAGAAGACACTAACATCTCCTAGAAGAGAGAAAGAAACACAGGACAAGTAAGTTTTCATTGGGATGAGTTTGGTCATTGGAATAGATCATTACAGTATCTTGCCTTGACTTAGAAAATAGTCATGTTCCTATTCAGGTTGATTCACTCCTCCCCTCTCTTACTTTTAAAATAAAATCCTACTTTTAAATACCTTAGTGAAGCCCCAAATGTAAAGAAATGGGATGAATCCTTGGCCATGAAAATTTATCCATCTGACAAACATTTAGTGAGCATCTACTGCATAACAGGCACTGTTGGAAGTACCTGGGAAACACCAGCAAATGTAGCAAAGCTTGCTGGCCTGTAAAATTTAATATTCAAGCAACAGACCATGTAATTGATCCACTGCTGATGTGAAATTCCATAAATCTGATTTTAACCAGTGGGATTTTTTTTCAAAGCAGAAGCTTCAACAGCCCAGTACCTATTTGTCAAGACTTACAGCATCAGTTCCAAAAGCAGGCTCCTCAGTTCTTATTCAGAGGCCAGCTCACAGAGAAAGGGAAACCACATACTCACACCTTTCTAATGAGTCAGAGCTTTCTTTTAGGAGATCTCTCACTTAAGTCATTACAAAAGAACTCCAGCAAATGGTTCTTCAGCTGCTTGGCTACTCTCAGAGTGAGTGCTGGGACCCAGGGGCTTCTGTTATGTAAGGAAATTGTTCTCATTCAGGTGGAAAGAAGGAGTGTTTGGGGCTCTAGGAGGAGCGCACTATGGTGTGTGGTGTGGACTCAGAGGACTGGCAACCTGGGTTTGTGGCCCAGCTTAATCCAGTATAGTATGTACAACCCCCAGTAACCTCTTTAGCCTCTCTGACCCTCCGTCTCCTCCTCTAAAGCTAATCACATGCAGGTCAGCACCATCCTGTCAAGTGCCTGGCACACCCCTCGTGCCCAGAAGGCACTTGCTGACAGTAGTTTTCCTTGTCTTCTATGAAAAGAAAGCAGTAGCTAAGGCAAAGGGGAAATTGAGCAGCCCCGATGAGCTGAGCCATGAGCTATGGGCTTTATGAGGCCTTTCTCATTTGATCCATAAAATGAATATGAATTAAAGATGCTATTATCTCTTCTTTACTGACGAGGTGAATAGCCTGAGTCCAATCAGGAGGTAGAAACCTCACAGGAGGTCATATAAGGGAAGTTTAATACAAAGAATTGTTAACTGTGCTAGAAGAGTGTCATGAGGTATAAGGGAATTCTGTGATACTCTAGGGTGAGGCAAAGTACTGAGGAAGGGCAAACTTGGAGGGGTTCAGACCCAGCTACAGAAGGTGTGGTCAGGCCACCAGACAGCAGAGAAGTTCACTGGTTTAGCCAGGGCAAAGCAGGTTTGGACCTGCTGGGTGAGCAGTAGTAAAGTGTAGGCAGGGAGCATGCTACAACCAGTAGCATGGGAATGCACTAGAATCTGGGCACTGGCAGGGGCACGGGCTGAGGCCTTCAGACCCTGTGGGCTGCATGTGGTGGGGGTGAGGGGCTTGCAGAAATAACAACAGCTCTGTGTGCCTGGGCCTCAGAAGGCTGTGTACAGGCCACATGGGGGATTGTGGAGGCAGCCTGGGTGTCAGTATGGGCTGGAAGCCTTGAGAGCAGGCAGGCCATGTGGGGCCCTGGTTTCTGAAAAGAGAGGGCTGCAGAAAGGTTATCACTAGGCAAAAGCTACCAGATCACAGATGGACCACGGGCTGGTGGGGCAGGCTCTACAAGTGACCATACCCCATCTCACCCCATCTCACTAACCCCACCATCGCTGAAATGACAGAAATCTTCTTCCTCCTGCAGTGTCCTTCCAGCGCCCTCTATGGAGAAAGCTAACTTTACTTAGTTGGTTACTTTAAAGAAAAATAATGAAATTCTGTCATCACGGAGTGTACGTATATTGAAGGATGAATTGAGAGCTGAGAGGTATGAATTGGGAACTGAGAACTGACACATGAGGCCAATGATGTTCAAGGGTTAGATCTCCCTAGCAATCCACAGTCAATGGCAGAACCAGGACTTAAAACCAAGTCTGTCTGGTTACGAAGCCCTTTCCAACCCAGCTCTTCTAATCAGAGAAGTTGGAACAACCCCCCTTGCCACAGCAAAGGCTGGGGACTCCACTTCATGTAAACCCAGAACTTCTGAGCGCCCAAGACACTGTGGACATAAGACTGCAATGGTCCTTCTTCATGCAACATGACCAACTGCTGACGTGTCTTCTTCCCCACAAGTTCACAGGGCAACAACTCTGTGCTATTCATTTCTGAGTCTGCAGAACCGAGCACTTAGAAGTGGCTCAAATAATTTTGCTGAATGAATAAACAGATGAGTGAATACAAGGAGGAGAAAGGGTAAACCAAACTTGGTGGCACTTCCAAACCCCTGTTTGAAAGCAGCCTTAGCTTGGAAACATACTGTGCGGGCAACTGAAACCCTATTCAGCATGCCTCTGATTCCACAAACACATTGTTTTCATTTGTTGGCCTTTCCAAAAATTCTGCCTCCTATGTCTGCCAGGGATCTAATGGAAGGGGATGTTGTTTCTTGTCCACCC